TTAGAAAATTTTACTACTAACAGAGATACAAAAGTGGGCGGTAGGTATAAAAAGGTTGACTACCCCTGGTCTACACTGTAAATCTCACTGGTTTCAGTTCTGGAGCTGACTTCTCTCATAGTTCAATTCTCTCTCACTGAACCAGGACACGAACATATTCATTTATGTTTGTACTTGTACATTTGCACTCGTAACTATTTCTTAACTACAGAGTAAATAAATTGGTTCTGGCCCAATCATCCGCCATGATGTAATTTTCCTTAGAGAAATGGGTAGACAGCTTGCATATCAGTGGCTACTAGCTGTGGTTACTGGATGAAATCTACTGCCATTGTTTTCAGTCCTCAGTTCCTCAAAAGCAGGTTAGTAATATGCTAAGAACCACATTCTTGTGGCTTTACTAGAGGAAGAGAAAGTAGCCAGGAGTCAGTATGAAGAAGGAGTTCCTACCAATTAAACAATGGATCACACATAACATTTTCAGAATTAGTGCTTCAGATAGGAAGTCCAATTTCATTGAGATACGGGTACAGTTCAGCCAGCAGTAAATCCACATGGTATCCTTTGGAATGATGAGATCAAACATAAAAACAACTAATTCTGAAAATAAAAGGTGGAAATACTCTAGGACTCACTGAATGGAGTTGTTTTAGCAATAAGATAGGCAAGATACTAAATTAGTTGGATTTTGTTCTGGATTTTCTTTCAGGGAGGCATCACTTGCACTCTGAAAGGGGGATCTTATTGCAGGAGAAAAAAGAAATGGAATCAAGACAAATTCGGGGGGGGGGAAGTTAATGTTATTTGAATGCAATTAAATTTAATAAAAATGAAATATAGTTAATATGATTGCTCACCATGTATTTAATTTCCTTTTTCCATATTAAAAACTAAAGGTTGGCATTTAGCAGCCTTAAATTGGAAAGAAGAAAGTATTCTAGTGGAAAAATGCTGGAAGTCTATTGAAGCGACCAAAACATTGACAGATGTCAGACTATGTAACATAAAATCCTTCCTGCACCTTGCCCATTTTACAAAATCTTGAATTATCATTTAGAATAACAGAGTTGGAAGGAACCTTGGAGGTTTTCTAGTCCAACCCCTTGCTTAGGCAGGAAACGCTTTTAGACAAATGGTTGTCCAATCTCTTCTTTAAAACTTCCAGTGTTGGATCATTTACAACTTCTGGAGGCAAGTTGTTCGACTGATTAATTGTTCTAACTGTCAGGAAATTTCTCCTTAGTTCTAGGTTGTTTCTCTCAATTACATAATCTCTCTTGCAGTTCTGTACAAGAGCATCAGGAGAAATCTCGATGTCCTGGTTGTGCTACACAAAGCTTAAACATCCTTGACCGAAACAGAGACAGTGCTTCTTTGGTCAGGCCAGCACTTTCTGTTGGAGCATTGAACCCTACTGCCGGCAGAAACACAGGATGGGATTCTTGGTTGGCAAAACAGCCACTCCACAAATATCACAGTTTGGACTTCAGTTATTGTTTTTCGACTGATCCGCTTCTCCCTGTGAAAATGGATGACAAAACTGGAAAGGGCTTAGATACCAAAGTGCATCCTATCCAGACCGAATCTACTCCTTTTCAATCAGTTTCACAGAAAACACTGCAGCCATTGGCAAAAATGGATTCAGAATCTGGCCACTGTGGAGGCTTTCAACTTGATTCAAACCTTTCAAACAATCTGTCAAACAATGCCCCAGGCTACAAGCTCAAGGATTTGTGCCACCAGCACTGCGTATGGTCATCAGAAGACCCCTACTTTTCCTCTCTCTCATCAGAGGAACCATGCTCCCCAGCACATCGTGAGTCTGCTCTCAGTCCCCTTAGAACAGTTCCTTCATCTTCTGCTGTGGCCTTTACAGAGCAGGCTATGGAGAGCTCAGAGGCCACCTACTCACTGTTCAACCCTCCAGCCCAGGATACTTGCCCTTTGGATGCAGTCTGCCACAGTAAGTTTATACAAGGTTGCAGCATTATTTCCATTCTGCCATTTATATGCTGCTCAATTCCAGGAAGCCTGAGCATCTTATAAATTTTTAAAAAAGAATAAAAGTAATTGAACCCCTAAACCAACAGCAATCACATTTCCTAACCATAAATATACCAAGGGAAATAGTCTCAGCAGCAGTAATTGTTTGCTACAGGAAAAGAACTCCTCGTAGCATGAATTTCCAAAGGCTTTTTAGAACAGTTGTCTTTTGACAGTTTTCCTGAATGCTGAAGATTTGGTACTAACCTGACATCAGGTGAAGCACTGTTACAAAGTAGGGATAGATACAAAATAGACACATCCCCATGGTTCTCAGGGGTTTCAGAGGATATTGATAGTTGATAATCTTCCCTACTGGGTCTTACCGGATGGGCAAAAATTCTGGGAGAAAATGGTTCCACATTTATCCAGGATCCAAGCCATATAAGGCTTCAAAGTTGACAATCCGCACCTTGAATTACACCCAGTTGCAACTGGCAATTGGTGAAACTTTTGCAGTTGTAGTATTACTTAGGCAAGTTGAGTGGTGCCCTTAACTAGAGCCATTGTATTCTACACCAGCTGTAGCTTCTGGCTTTCTTCAAAGGCAGTAGGTAATATGGGAGTTGTGCAAAAGTCTTCTTCAATCAGGAGTCTTTTTTTCCTCAACAGAACTCACAGCTTCCAAATGTTGAGATAGCACCTCTGTTTGACTCAGGATTGAGATATCCATCAATGTATCATCCATAAATGATGGTACATCAATGTATCATCAGTTCTACTTCAGCAATATCTGGACTGTAAATTATGAAATTTTTGTGACTGAGTTCCTAAATTACAACTTATTATAGGTCAGCCCAGCCCCAAGCTCTCCAATTTTTTGAAGCAGCGTTTTCAGTCATAACTGATCCCAAACCTTTTGCATCTAAGATGTGTTGTTCCACTGAGCAATGGTCTCTTTCTTTGATAGTGTTATTAGAAGTCAGGAAGATCCTGCTGACTCAGCCTACCAGACTTAAGACTGACAAAGTAGGTTAACTGAATGAATCCTTACCCTAATTGAGTGACAAGCAGATGATACCTGACCCTATGCCAGAAGATGACCTCTTCTTCCAGAGGCTTCATGTAGATGTTGAAAGGGTGAAAGAGTAGAGCATTTTGGTACTCCACAGAGGATCACTTTAGGACATGATCTTTCTCACCCTTTCATTACTCAGAGCAAGCATAGCCCATAGAAGTGGTCCATTAGGATACATGAGTGATTATATCCAAACATTTAACAAATAAGACAAGTGTTGCCAACTGAGATATGGTGTACAGATTGGTTGTATAAAATGAGGATGCTTTGATATTATATAGCTGGTAAACCTGTTCTTTCCTAATACATCTTCTATTTTTGAATTCTGAATATGATGCAGAAAATGCTTAGGTTCTAGAGTTTACATGATAGTCAAGAGATATTAAAGTAATAGCAATAGCACTTAGACTTATAATGCTTCACAGTGCTTTACAACTCTCTCTAACTGGTTTATATATTGTCCCCGACAATCTGGGTCCTCATTTTACCTACCTTGGAAGGATGGAAGGCTGAGTCAGTTTTGAGCCAGGTGAGACTCGAACTGCCAAACTACTGGCAGTCAACAATGCAGTGGTTAGAATGCAGTTAGAGGACACAATATTTGAACCCCTCTTTTAAATTTAAGTTTGATAAGCATAAATATTAGGAATCTAAGCGGAAAACAGTTTTTCTTTAGGTTTTTCTCTAGGTTTCAATAGTTTTTCTTTAGGGAAAATTTGCACTGTTTTTGAGCCTTCTTCTTCAATGTATATATTGGCAATTGGTTAAAGAGTCGTTTGTAATATAGCTGAGCATAATGAGCAAAATCATACATAATTACATATTTTATTATTGCCTTAGACCAAATTCATACATACATAAAATATAACCATAAAAGAGATTATATATGATTGAACTTGGGTACATACCAGTGGTGGGTTCCGGATTCCAACCATACCGGTTGGAACGGCCCCAGTATCATTCACATGGGCATGTGCAGCGCAAGCCACACATGGGTGGTACGCGCTTGCGTTGTACTTTCCTACAATGCTTCCGCAAGCCTCCATGACACTCCAGCTGCTTGGCGGAGCATCGCACAGGCGCCGTATGCCCCATGCGTGTGCGCGGAAGTGCCAAAGGCTTAAAGCACAGGTAAGGAGCTCGGGCAGGCGGGTGCGCCCTCCGGAGCACCGTATCAGAACGGTATCAAGGAGCCAAGGTGGCGCAGTGGTTAAATGCAGCACTGCAGGCTACTGCTAGATCAGCAGGTCAGCGGTTCAAATCTCACCGGCTCAGGGTTG